CACACACACACACACACACACACACACACACACACACACACACACGCTCACTCGCTCAAGGAAAAACACTTTGCAGACTGAGCCCCCTCGCCGACTCCCAGGTCCCTGTCTGGGTGTTTCTGCCCCCGTTACTTCAGCAGCAGCCAGAGGGGGCTCCCCAAATCCATGTGCCTACCAGCTTTTGCAAACACATGGAGCAGACTGCAATTTGGGTAACTTTTCAAATCCCGTCGACTGAACACTTGCCCACAAATATTTGAGGGGGGGACGCCCCCTCATCCCTCCACCTCCACTTCTGACCCCCACCATGCTCTCGGGCTGACTGCTTGGGGGAAAGAAATGAAACAGTCACTCCAGTTGTTCTGGCCACTCGGGTGGGGACACACACACACACACACACACACACACACACACACACGCTCTGCCAGAGAGAAGCACCGAGCCCCCTGGGGAGCCAGCACGAGCCAGCGAGGCAACCGAGTCCCAGACGCGGCGCCAGCGCCAGCGCCAGCGAGCCAGCCTCGGCCGGGAGCCCCGAGCGCGCACCCGAGGGTCACTGACGCCCCCGAGGGAGGACTCGAACCCGCGCAGCGCGCGTACCAGCCCTAGCGAGCAGCTCACCTTCAGGTTGTGCGTGGGGTTTACGACGCAGACAAGTTGGCCGGCGGCGGAGAAAACCCGTTTAGCCTTGTAGTGCTGAAAGCGGAGGTGAATGAGATCTAACACAGCTCCAAAGCACTGGGTGAAGAAAAGCATCACAACTTTTGGGGGGTCGTTGGCACAGGAAGGCAGCGGAGGCAGCTGTGGGTCCTCGGGCTCTGGAAGGCGCGCAGCCTCTGAGACGCGGGGCTCCGGACCGGCTTAGCGCCCTCGGATTCATCATCAAAATAAGACGCTTAGAATCTTGCAGCAGCGAGGCGGCCAATCAAAAGGACAGAAGTGTTATCCTGGAGGTGCAGAGACAGCCAATAACAAATGCCTCCCCTGCTGAAACTCCCCGATGAATCGAGCCTGGCGCAGAATGTATTATTGAACATTACCATAGATCAGCACATTGCATTTATCTTGTGATTACAGCCAACCATACATAATGCTGGGGAGATAGGCTGACAAAATTGATTGCTTAATGTGTCTCCATTTATTAATTGACTTAATTTAACATAAGAGCCTTTCTTAACGTGCTGGCAAAAACGTAAAACGTTTAAACCTCCAAATAGTAAAACAGCCTGTTCCAAAGTAGGCAGATGGATAACGTAGATCGTGGCTCGACTCAACAGAGCTGCTTGGGAGAAAATCAAATATTACAAGACTCCTCTGATTCCAGATAAGGATTTGGCAGGGGAAGGAATGAGCATCTTTTAATCTTGCACTCTCTCTGCAATTTGGGTTTCAGCCCCCTTGAAAAAATCTTACTCTCCACTCTGTTTAAAAAGAAAGAAAGAAAAAAGAATCCTGCACATACACATATGTATATATATCCATAATACTGTAATTACTGAAGCCTGAAAATATTAAAGCATAAAAATGCACTGAGTATGCTTCTAAAAATAACGAAATCCCTCATGCGTGAATGCATATACACAGGAAAACCTACACAGAGGAAAGTGGCTTGTAAATCAGCAAAATAATTACAGATGCAGAGGGTCTTTACTTGTCATTCATTTGCATATTGGTGGGCAGCAAATAACTAAATTGGTGGATACGTTAGAACAGAGATTAAGAACACACATACCACATTATCTGAGTTTATCTGCAAATGCCAGCAGCAGGTTTCTGTGCTGGAGCAGCAGAGGGCATTCCAGTCCTCAGACTGCTCCTTCTCTTTTACCTCCCTGGAGAGGGAGGTAAGCCCACCCACAGGTTCTGGAAGAAAGGCTCCTGAGCAGCACTTGAGGAATCACAGTTCTTGGGGATAGTCAGCCTTTCTGACTAAAGCAGGAGAGTTGGGTGTTGTGTCTCCCCTCTTCTTTGGTTGTTTCTGTATTGAGAAGTCAACCCAGATCCAGCGTGCCTGGGTGAGAATGGGCCTTGCGCATGAATTGCACTCAGAGCTGTGAACCCATTGCTCCTTCCCAAATGGCTCTCACTCTTTACCGGCTACAGTGCTAGGGTTGTAATGTATGAAAGTGTACATATATCTGGAACACCTATTCTGTGACTTGGTCAGGCAATTAAATCAACAACAGATTAAAATACAGGAAAAAAATGAACAAGTTTACTGAAACCAGGACAAAGCCCCAGTGTTAGTTTTAACTTGAATTTTAAATCAAACCAAATGTTTTAAGAAACAAGTAAGCCAAGCACCAATTAAAACAGAAAGTTTGTACTTTCTAAAATGCACTGGCACAAACCTAGAAGGTGACAACATCTGAACTGATTAGGACCTCATCAATATGATACATTTATAGGACATGATTCCCCGCACCCAATCATTAAATAGTTTGTAAACAAGGTTGCTGACCCACAATACCAGCATTCGCTCTCTAAAGTTTTTATTTTCCAGAACAGGCAGCATTTTAGTATTCAGCTGAAAAGCATTCAAAGTTTTTTATTACCTTACTTTTTTTAAAGAGAAAAGTAAGATTGCAATTCCATAGACTTCTTAAAAACACATCTCATAATTCATAAAAGTCCAAACCTCCCTCTCCTTCATCCTTTGTTAGGATGGAACTATTGTGTTTTTGTTTTTCCCTTTATGCAACCTCAGACAGGTTTCTTAACCTTGCTGAAGCTCGGTTTCCACACCTGTCACAAAGGAATAATAGAAATTTATATCTCTCAAGGTCATTGTGAAGACTAAGACAAAGTATCTAGAAGTACCCAGCACAGTGCCTGATCCAAAGCAGCCTTTCAATAGAGTCTAATGAGCATCTTGGTGGAAGGGTGATTATTTGGCAGTATGTTTTTACTTTCTGCTCCATGGAATATTTTCCCCCACTGATATTCATGCTATCATCCAGGGCCATGGAAACAGAGGGCATGATAAGTGTGAACTTGGCTCCTGCTTTGTTCTTAAGGGTTAGTGTTCCTGATGTTACCTAGAGACCTGGCCTGGAGTGAGGGCTGAAGGGCGAAGGAGTGCATATTGACATCAGTGGTGAGAAGAGTGCCACCGAGCTGCTATTATGGTTTTGTTTCCTTGGTCTCAGACTTGACCCCTTGCTCTAATTCTGTATTCAAAACTGGTCTATGTCACTCTCTTTTAAAATAATTTTCTTTTTAATTAATTGAATTTATTGGGATGACACTGGTTTGCAAAACCATGCGTATTTCAAGCGTACAACTGAATAAAACATCAACTGCACCCTGCATCTTGTGCCGAGCAAAGTCTCTTTCTGTCCCCATTTCCCCATCCTTTGCCTACCTCCACATAGCTCCCACCCCCTTTCCCTTTGGCTATCAGCACACTGTTGTCTGTGTCTATATGTTATGCATGTGTTTTTTGGCTACTCCCTTCACCTTCTTTCATCCAGTCTTCTCACCCTCCTGCCCTCTGACAGCAGTCAGCCTGTTCCCTGTAGCCATGCCTCTGTTTCTATTTCATTTATCAGTTTATTTTTTTCATTAGATTCCATATACACGTGAGACCATATGGTATTTGTCTTTCTCTGACTGGCTTATTTCACTTGGTATAATAATCTCCAGGTACATCCCTGCTGTCGCAAAGGGTAAGGGATCCTTCATTTTTACAGCCACATAGTATTCCAATATGTAAGTGTCCCACAGCTTTTTCATCCACTCATCTACTGATGGGCACTTGGGCTGTTTCCAGATCTTAGCTATTGTAAATAACACTGCTATGAACATCGGGGTGCATGTATTCTTTCTGATTGGTGTTTTAAGATTCTTACAATATATTCCTAGAAGTGGGATCACTGGGTCAAATGACAGGTCCGTTTTTAATTTAAGTCTGCGTTCCCACCAGCAGTTCCCTTTTCTCCACATCCTCGGTACTTGTTTGTTGATTTATAGATGATAGCCATACTGGCAGGTGTGAGGAGGTATCTTATCGTGGTTTTAATCTGCATCTCTCTGATGATTAGTGATGTTGAGCATTTTTTCATATGTCTATTGGCCATCTGTGTGTCCTCTTTGGAGAAGTGTCTATTCAGGTCCTTTGCCCATTTTTTAATTGGATTGTCTTCCTGGTGTTGAGTTGTACAAGTTCTTAATCTATTTTGGAGATAAATTCCTTATCAGATGTATCACTGGCAAATATGTTCTCCCATTCAGTGGTGGTTCACCTTTTCACTTTGTTGATATTTCATTTGTTGTGCAAAAGCTTTTTACTTTGATGTAGTCCCATTTGTTTATTTTTTCTTTTGTTTCCCTTGCCTGAGGAGATACCAGCAAAAATATTGCTACAATAGATGTCTGAGATTTTACTGCCTATGTTTTCTTCTAGGATTCTTATGGTTTTGTAACTTACATTTAGTTCTTTTATCCATTTTGAGTTTATTCTTATATAAAGTGTAAGTTGGTGGCCTAGTTTCATTTTTTGGCATGTACCTGTCCAATTTTCCCAACACCGTTTACTGATGAGACTGTCTTTACTCCATTGCATGCTCTTGCCTCCTTTGTCAAATATTAATTGATCATAAAGAAATGGGTTTAGCCCGGCTGGGCTTGGCTCAGCGGTTGAGCACCTACCTAGGATCCAGTAGGTCGGGGTTCGATTCCTGGTCAGGGCACATGCCTGGGTTGCGGGCTGCAGCCGATCAATGACTCTCTTGTCATTGATGTTTCTATCTCTCTCTCCCCCTCCTTTCCTCTCTCTGAAATCAATAAAGATATGTTTGTTTTTTTTAAAAAAAAGAAAGAAATGGGTTTATCTCTGGGCTTTCTGTTCTGTTCCATTAATCTATACCCTGTTCTTATGACAGGACCAGGCTGTTTCTATTACTATGGCCTTGTAGTATAGTTTGATATCCGGCGTTGTGATCCCTCCAACTTTGTTCTTCTTTCTCAAGACTGCTGTGGCTATTCAGGGCCTTTTCTTGGTTCCATATAAATTTTTGGAATACTTGTTCTAGATCTGTGAAATATGCCATTGGTATTTTAATAGGAATTGCACTGAATCTACAGATTGCTTTGGGTAGTACAGTCATTTTAATGATGTTAATTATTCCTATCCATGAACACAGTATATGCTTCCACTTATTTGTATCCTCCTTAATTTCTTTCTTCAATGTCCCATAATTTTCCGAGTACAGGTCTTTTACATCTTTGGTTAAATTAATTCCTAGGTACCTTACCTCTTTTTGTTACAATAGTAAATGGGATTGTTTTCTTAGTTTCTCTTTCTGGTAGTTCATTATTGGTGTATAAATATACCACTGATTTCTGAATATAAATTTTGTATCCTGCTACTTTGCTGAATTTATCAATTAGATCTACTAGTTTTTTTGGTGGAGTCTTTAGGGTTTTCTATGTACAATATCATGTCATCTGCGAATAATGACAATTTTACTTCCTCCTTTCCAATTCGGATGCCTTTGTTTCTTCTTCCTGGTTGGTGGCTGTGGCAGGACTTCCAACACTACATTGAATGAAAGTGGTGAAAACCGACACCCTTGTATTGTTCCTCATCTTAAGGCAAATGCTTTTAGTTTTTGCCCATTGAGTATGACGCTGGCTGTAGATCTTTCATATATGGCTTTTATTTTGTTGAGGTATGTCCCTGTATTCCCACTTTGCTGAGAGTGAGATTTTTATCTTGCATCATGTAATTTTTATCCTTCATTTTGTTTATGTGATGTAGCCCCTTTTGG